CCTGGGCTACCAAGTGAGTCCCAGGAAAGGTGCAAAGCTACACAGAGAAACCCTGTCTCAAAAAAAAAAAAAAAAAAAAAAAAAATCAGCATTGTGTACTGTAGACAAACACTAACGTCTTACTAACCTAGGAAGCTCTTATAAGAAGGAACCCAACCTAATCTATACCTCTAAGAGCCAAAGACAAGTAAGACCGAGTTCTGAGACCTTACCTTGCTTCCACTGACAGTATGAAACTTTTTCTCCAGAACTTTCTTCACAGGGTCTTCCTCTTTAAATGTAATAAAAACAAAACCCCGTCTTTTGTTCAACTTGGGATCTATTGGAAGCTCAATGGCTTCAATCTGTGAAAACATAATAAGCAAAGCTCAGGTTTAAACCTCTAGTACCCCAGAACACATAAAGCTGCTAAGAAAAGACCACTGAAAGGTTAAACCCTACTAATACTCCAGCCAGGCAAGGCCAACAAAGACCAGGAAGAAACAAGCCATACTCACCTCCCCAAACTGCCCAAAGTATTCTCTGATCTTTTCCTCTGTGGCTTCGGGGTTCAAACCTCCCACAAATATTTTCTTCACAGGATCCTTCTTCATAGCCATAGCTTTTTTAGGGTCAATAACACGACCATCCAGCCTGTGTTCCTTCTGGTCTAAGACCTGTGTAAAACAGAATTCTATCAGGTTCTAACCAACACAATTACACAAAATGGGCCTTACTTAACTGACTTCCTAATCCAATGTTCTCCAAACTTCCCCATACAGATGAACTCCTATAAACCAAGCCCCACCACCTTTGTCCATGCTCCACACTCCCTCTTCCTAACCACAAGTCCCAACTTTAGACCCACCTCCTTTCATTAAAGCAGAAGTGACAAACACAGGGTAATTTAGTGCTGAAATCCTCTCTACTCTGCATAAATAAATGCATGCACTTTCACTTTTCCTGAGATTTAGGATTTTGAGATCCCCATTAAAACTATAATCCCAGCACTTAGGAGGCAGAGCCAGGCAGATCTCTGAGTATGAGGCCAGCCTGCGCTACAGAGTTGAGTTCCAGGAAAGGCGCAAAGCTACAAAGAGAAACCCTGTCTCGAAAAAATAAAATTTTAAATTGTATATAAGAAATACCTATCCACACAGCAATCTTGGACTTGCAACCCCCATAGTAAAACACTTAACACCAAGCCCGTGCATAGGGATATAAAAAAGGCAATAAGGGAGGGCTGAAGGCGGGACTCTAGTTCCTGCCCAGCTCACTGCCCTCCTGCGGGATACTCAATAAGCTTTTAAAATAGTATGTATGAACTGTAATCCTCCAGAATCACTCACTCACATATAACCCACTTAATCTGTACTATCCCCCAAAACAGGAATTTAAGCTCTTTGTCCCATCAAACACTGCAGTGCACATAATGAGTTCCTTAGGGCTCAGAATCCTAATAGACTGCTGCTAAACACCCAGCTTACCTTCTCCACACTGGAAGAATCTTTGAACAGGATAAACCCAAACCCTCTTGATCGTCCAGTGTTGGGATCCATTTTAATTGTACAGTCCACGACCTCTCCAAACTTAGTAAAATAATCCTTTAAATCTTTTTTGCTGGTATCCCAGCTCAAACCACCAACGAACATTTTTCTGAAAGGGAGACAACGATCACAAATTTTAGGAGCGGGCTGTGATTTTTACAAAAGTCTGACTCGGATACACTTTCCTGGCAAGGGCTTGCAAAGCGACCGCCCCATGGGCCAGTCTGCGAGGGCGCCCCCTTTCAAATTAATCCCTCCTGTGTTATTACTCTGCAATCCCGACTCAACTGGAATTCATAGCAGCTGTACGATATTTTATAGCCACACATTGTGTGGGGGGGAAAAATAAAGCCAACCTGGTCACAAACGTGACCCATGACCCATCACAAGCTTAAATTAGCGTGCCCTGCACTCCTCAATCTAAGCGAGCTCCTTTTCCGTTCGCCCCCCGCCTCCCGAGAACCGCTCCCGAGGAACTCTCGAGTTTCCTGGGGCCGAGAGCGCCCCAGGGTTCAGGCCGTGACTCCGCCTCTCGACCCGAGGCAGGCTAGGCCGGGCCCGCCGCGCGCCAACTCCGCCCACGCAGCCCAGACGCAGCAGCGCTCGCAGCCCGAGTCGAGGTCGACCGCTTTTCCTCTTCCGGGGCCTCCCGCCTCGAGGCCCGCTGCAGCCTCCGCACCGCGCGAGCAGCCCGGGGCGGCCGCAAAAGTCGACCCCGCCAACTCCTGCAAACTCCAGTGCGCGTAACCGCGCCTGGGCCCGCCGGA